GAGACCTCTACTTTAAGATATGGGGAATTCTGGGACTTGAAGTCCACCCATCTTAAAGCCACCAAGGTTGAGAAACACAACTTTAGACACAGCTACCTGGCTTTTCCTGTCCGCTGGGACTCAAAACCCATGATGCACCACCCCTCTATTCAAGGAATGCCCTCTTTGCAAGGCAGAGCAAAGCTTCCACAGCCCAGCCTAACCCTCTTTCTCTCCCGCAGATCCTCCTCGGTCTCCCTCCCTGGCCTTGTTCCAGGAGACCCAGAGGGGCCAGCTAGCCATTGTCCATTGCACGGTGGACAGCAACCCCCAGTCCACGCTGAAACTTTTCCGGGAGCAGCAACTCCTGGCCACCACCAGTTCCCACTCGGCGCCCAACCAAAGGATCGGCATCGTGGCCACACGCAACTCCTTGAAGCTGGAGATCCAGAAGATCACGCCGGAAGATGAGGGAGAGTATCAATGCGTGGCCACCAACAAGTACGGGAATGCCACCACCTCCAGCGTCTTCAGGAGCCAAAGTAAGTGTGTGTGTGTGGAGGGGTGGTGATGTTGCAGTGCGTACAAAGCCTCCTTAGAAAGGCCAGAGTTTCTGGGAGGGAATCTATAACATTCTTCTTTATAAAATTATACATTCTGATAAACATGTATACATGCACTTATAGTCTTTGGAGAAAGGGCAGAGAAGAGCAAGTAAGAGGCTCAAAGGCAGCCAGTTATTCAGCCAGTTCTGACCAGTCCTGGAGAACTAGTAACGGACATTTTGAGTAGTTGGGAGAACCAGCCAATACCACCTCCAACTGGCCCCACCAACCCCATCTCTTCTCTGCCTCCCATCGAGTCCCAGCCGATCGGCTGGGTCTCCTTTGGTTACCCTGCACAGGGGAACGGAGCTGGAAAGCAGGTTAGTGGGGTGGGGAGGGAAGGGGGATTTTGCAGTCACCTTCCCCCAGGAGTGGGAAGGAATGGAGATGGTACAGTATCCTTCCCCTGCCATGCCCACCAAGCCACGCTCACCAAGCAATGCCACCCCCCACCAGGCCACGCCCACAGAACTGGTAGTATAGAAAAGAAATTGAATCCCACCACTGATCAAAGGCCTGGAGGCTAAAACATAGAACACTTGCAGGAATTGGGTAGGGCCAGTATAGAGAAAAGAAGGACTAGGGGGGGACATGATAGCAGTATTCCAGTATTAGAGGGGCTGCCCCAAAGAGGAGAGGGGTCGAGTTATTCTCCAAAGCACCAGAAGGCAGGACAAGAAGCACTGGATGGAGACTAATCCAGGAGAGAAGGAACCTAGAATTGGGGGGAAACTTCCTAACAGTGAGGACAATTAACCAGTGGAACTGTTTGCCA